AGCACTCTTCAAATAAAATTGAAGAAGAGAGAACTCAATACCTCAATGAAATTAACTTAAAACTACTAAAAGGAACATTTATCACAATTATTATAATCAAAACACTCACAAAATGAATCTATAAACTATATAAGTATTTGATTCTATCATCCCTCATTCCTTCAAAGTTGCTTTTGGTAATTCATGTGTTTTCCAATATTTCCAGTACTTGTTTTCAAACCATATAATTTTCATCAACCAATTTTGATAGTCTTGATTTGATACCATGAACTGACATGCTACACTAATACTTGTGAAGTGGGGGTTTCTATAGGTCACCCCCTTTAATTCGTGTTGAATGTAAGCCTTTCCATTTTAGTTAGAATATTTTGTGTTGTTAAATAGGGAAATCTCTCTCATACAGTAGGTCAACATAATAGTAGCAAAGGAAGAAAAACATGTTCGCAATGAAAAAAGAGTTTCTAATTATTGAATATCATGAACAAAATGACAATTATTAAAAATATGTAGTTTATATTAGACAATCTCACGTGTTAATTACTAATACATCAATCTTTTCCTTAATAGAACCTAGCATAAATTCAAAGGAAAAAACATACTAATTTGAAAAAAACCATACTAATATCAAATTTTATTTTAATTTGAGAAATTAAAATTGGAGTGAAAGTAAAAAGAAAAAGGAAAAGAAAAAAACCCAAGAAATTAAAACGATGAGAAAGGAAATTTCTTAAATTGTCCAGGAATGTCCGGGGGGAAGGAGGGAGTTGGTGTAGAATCGGAAAGTAGGCTTCTAGAAGGTAATGTACACGTGTCGTTTGATGGGGGTTTTGTATGCTGCAGCAAATCACATGCAACTGTGCCCACTGGGCCCCATAGCACATGGCTCGAGAGCAACCAAATGCGTAGCCCAAAATTTTAAAATATTAAAAAAAAAAAGGCAGAATGGGCCCCACAACGGTCGACGTAACTGGAATCTCCATTCGTTTTATTGTAACCCACCTCACGCGCCCTCACCTCACGTCACTATACAGTTTCCATCAAAAGATGTCGACTCGGTTTTCTTTTTTAAATACAAAATAAAAATATGTTTGATAATTAATCTTACTTATTCGGTAAATTTACGAAGTAAAGAAAACGAAAACTTTATTTGAAAATAATTTCTGGAATAAAATATTTGAAATTGATGTGTTCTTTTTAATCTTTCAATATTCAATATGTATTTTTATGGGTAAATTTATAAAACAATATTTTAATTGATGTTTGAATACGTGATAAGAAAATTAAAGTTGTGTAGCTTAATTCCCAATTTAGTTGTTTGTTTCTTAAATTCTTAAAATTGAATTTTTAGACTGACTTAGAAATATGAGCATGTTTTTTTTTTTTTTAATTGTTTCTTTAATGACAATCAAGTTTAGTTGGCTCTTTTTTGTTCAACCATTTATTTCTTAAAAATATTTTTAAAACTCTAGTTAAATTTTGAAAATAAAAAAAAACTAGTTTCCAAATTTATGTTTTAGTTTTTAAAATTTAGTGAATATTTCCAAAATATTGACTAATTTTTTATTTTCTTTGAATATATAAACTTTTGAGTCTAAAGAGTAGTTGATAAGCTTTGGACATTGATAGCATTGGACTTTTGAGCATAATTTCCTGAACAATTTCCAATAAGTCAATTTTTCACAATATAAAAGTTTAGTTTAATTTGTAAAACTTAAAGTCAAAAGGAGCCTAGCTTAACATAGACTCATTTCCTTAAATTAGAAGGTTTAAATTTTCCTACCCCATATTTGTTATATTAATTTCCTTTTTTTTTGTAAAATTTAAAATTAAATAGTTATTAAATAGTTTAGCAAATTGTTTTTTTTTAAGAACATAAGAAAAACAATATAAAACACCCCAAAGTTTTCCAAGAATATAAAATAAGAATGTAAAGAGAGAAAAAAAAAAAGAAAAGAAAAGAAAAGAAAAGGGTTACTGGTGACCCCTTAAAAAATATCAAAGATTTGTATTCAAATCAATATATTGGCATGACAACATTTTTTATTTTAGGGGCGCCAAACACACGTCTTTTTTTTTTTTCTTTTTTTACAACACAAATTCAGTTATTTGTAAACATAACAACAATATTTTAAATTTGTAAATATAGTAAAAAAAAAAAAAAATCCAACCCATATCCATCCACAAAAACATTAAAATAGCTCTGGAATGTTTATATGTCTATACATTTACAAACTATCTCAGTGATAGACTATACAATTCTTAACATAACCATCTTGCTATATTCATCGGGCAATATAAATTTCTACTCATTAAAAATTTTCATTATTTTATTTCTTTCATCATATCATGGAATTAATTAAGCTATCAATATATGAAATTAAGATTTTTTTTTCTTTTTATAATTGAGAGTCGGAGTTTTGCTCCCCTATATCCGAAGCACCCATACCTGCCTCAAGGCTTGAACTCGAAATATTTTTGGATTAATCTCATGTAAAGGTTCGAACTTGAAACATCTAAGTCGATATAATCAAAAGACCTCAATGTATTGTCAACGGAGAAACCGTCCCTTGGGAGCCAAATTAAGATATCAATTATAATTTGTATTTCGCATTTTTATCATTTACCTTTATGAATAAGGTTATTATAAGTCCAGCAAACAATAATATTAGATTTTGCTTTCTAAAGAATTGTCTAATTGCAATGACTCAATTTCTAATTTAAAATTGAATGAATGCAAACAGAATATGAGCTTTTCAATAAATAAAAAAGATTATTATTATTATTATTATTATTATTATTATTATTATTACAATATATAGAACGATTCGAACTGAACTTCCCACCTTCTAGGTACATTAATTCGTTGAATCAAAGATTATATATAAATTATCATTTTCCTTTTATATATATATAGATACATATTTACCATTTAGTCATTTTCACAAAAAGGAAAAGGAGAAAAAAAAAAGCTGAAATGTGATGCAGACCGAATCGAAGGGGAGATGGGACCTTTTAATTAAAGGGTAAAAAAAGAGAGAAAAAAAATGGTAAAACCTAAAAGTTGGTTTTGGTTGGGAGCGAGGGTGTTATGGGAATTAACGCACTCATGTTTTTAAAAAGTTAACGGAAAAAAAAAAAAAGAAAGAAAGAAAAAAAAGCTGCGTCTCTGTGTGCCCACCTATTTTTTTCATCATCCAATCATAGGTCTCTTCTTTTCAGGCTACTCTCTTTAATCTTTTCTTTCCCTCACCTTTCTAATTTTAATTTTTTTTCTCTATTTTAAATGTCATACATAAATAAATTATCTACAAATAAATTATTTGACATAACTACCCCTCTAAAATTTGGTCAGATATGTAATGTAGTTTACCCAATTTAAACGTAGTTTTAGTATACATTTGTGAACTAAGAGCAAAAAAGTAGGTGGTAAGCTTATATTCTCATCTCTAATTTCCAATATAAATTTTTAAAAGGTAACGTATTCATTCAAAACAAACTTAATATAGTTATAAAATATGGTTGTTTATTAATGGATTAGCTAGTTATACAAGAATTACTCTTCTTCGTTGTTATTGTTAAATCATTTAAAAATGTGAACATAATTTCAATCATTTCATCTCTTTAATTTGAAAGATAAATTAAAATGAACCAACTTTGGCATAATTCAACTGGTTAACATACAAAAAAATCGAGAATTCTAATCTCCAATTCCACGTATTATTGTATGAAAAAAAGACAATAATTAGAATGAAAATTTAAAAAATGTTGAAGGATAGAGGGGTAAAATGACACATTAAAATTTAATTGAATTTTAAAAAATTTAGTAGTCTATAAGACTTTGCTAATAAATAACAATTAAATAGAGCCGACATAGTCTATTTTATTTTGTAGTGCGTGTGAATGCTTTTCAAAACTCAAATTAGACTTTTAAAATCATGGAATTAGGGCTTTGATATAGGCATCCCAAATTACACATATATGTGTTCAATTGTCTGTGTGAAATAAGCAACCTTAAAAGGTGTTTTTAGTGTTGCCATGGTTAATTATGAATGCCCCACTTAACTTAGGAATAAAATAAGACACCACATGATACTTTAAAATACTTTTAAAACATAGGGATATTATTCACATGATAGACAAACTACAAATGTGGAAATATTGAAAATAAATATCCGTATTTCATGTAGAAAATGTATTATTTGTTTTCATCCTTGAAATCGAAGTAGAAAAGAAAATCGTCGATGTTTACTTTCAATCCATAAAAATTCTAATTATTATTTCTTCTCACTCCAATCCTCTAAGAGATGCAATTCTAAAGGTTCAGTTGATCTATATATAATTTAACAACCACAAACATATTTTGTCTTATAATTTACTTTCAAAATAATTATTTATATTTTAGCTAAATTTAAATACCTAAAAATATAATTTTGAAATATTTATTTTTAGAAAAGGCTCAATAGAATCCAAAAGTATCTTTTGGTTAAACAAAAACAACAAAAAGGACAAATCTTATTTATGAAAATGAGAAATCAATGGGAAACCAAAGTAACGACCCTATCAAACAATTCAAATTATTAAGAATAAATTGTTAAGATTGAGAGATATATTTATTACCTAAAATAGATCATAAGTTCCAATTCCAGTTGCACATGTTATTGTTATTGTACTAAACAAACAATTTAAATCTCTCCGGATTTTATAAGTTTGTAAGATGAAGAAAAGTCATTTTTCACTCCATAATATCTAGGTTTTTTTGTTTTAGTATGCTTAATTTGGTCCCATAACATGTCTAGTTGTTGTATATTTTAATTATTGTTTAATGAAGGGAATGAATTTAATATACACAAAACCATTAATAGTTAAACATATCTTGTCCCAAAGTTTTCAAATTTCACAAAAAAAAAAAAATAATAATAATAAAATAGAAAAAAAGAAATCCCCATTCCTCTTTTTTTTTTTTTATAATTTAAATATAGAGTAATTAAAAAGATAAGAAATTAAGGCATGAAAGGGAATTATTATTTGTTCATTACAACATTTGTTCTTCTAATCACCCAACAATGGAGAAATCTGAAGTTTTCTTTTTTTTACAGCTTCACTCCAATGACGATTCACTATTCATCAATCCTCAGTAAAAACCACGTGAATCTCTCTCTCTCTCTCTCTCTCTCTCTCTCTCTCTCTCTCTCCAACGTTTTTTTTCCTTTTGCCGGAGCCGGCAGCTGCTCCCTCCCCCACCAATCCCCACCGGTCTTTTCTCTCTTTATTCTGCACAATGCACAAATCCCAAGACTAGATTATACTCCGGTGATCGGAATTATTTTTAGTTCCACTGATCGGGGCAGTACCAGGGCATAGACGGGGCTTGCTCGTCGGAGAACAGATTGCAGGTCTCTTCTCCGCTGAAGAAATTGTGCTCTTCAATTTTCACAAATTGTTGTGCATTGTTACTATTGTTATAACCTTTCTGAAACGGGAAGCAGTTCAGAGACGACGACGGAGACGACAGAAATTGCGGGTGGCTTTGGAGCATCCCACCAGCTGAAGATACGACACCGTTTGGGCTGTTGTCTTCGTTCAATATGGCGCTCGAGTCGCTGTCCGATGACCCATCTTTAAAATCAGGGAACAACGACACTTCAACTCTCTGATCGTTGCCGTCGTCGGCCACGGCGGCGGCTTTGAAGCCCTCGTAATTGAACTCATCGGAATGATCGGAAGCAACCGGAAGAGAAATATGATCCATCGCAAGATGATTATTGGTCTGTTCAATTAGTAAATTGTCCGATTCCGACACGAACATCTCTTCCTTAACTGACAAATTGCTCTCCGTCTTCTCTTCCTCGAGCTTCGATTTCAGTTCCTTAATCTACAACATACACAATTTCAATTTCTCAACTCAACAAATTGAAATGAACTCAAAAGAGATTCATAAAACAGGGTCCCTGTAAATTCCACCCACCTCTTTGTGCAGAGCATCATTGTCTTGCTGAAGGGTATCGAAACTACGTTTGAGAGTTTCGTAATTGGCTTTGAGAAGGCCATAATCTCTCTCAAGTTGCTTGGTTTTCCATCGGGCTCGGCGGTTCTGGAACCAAACGGCAACTTGCCTCGGCTGAAGGCCCAGTTCTTGAGCGAGCTTCACTTTCCTCTCTGGTTCAAGCTTGTTTTCGATCTCGAATGTCTTCTCCAAGGCCTTCACTTGATCTACGCTTAGCCTCCTTTTCTTCTCCCCCACATGACAGTGTTCTTCGATGGAGCCTTCCTCGTCTAAGCCCTCCAGTAACATCGACTGAAACTCCCTGCCGTACACATGGTTGTTTCTCGGACTCTGTTCCTCTGCAACCAACAGTATAACAAGCGAGATTTATCAGTTTTTCTACAACTCCCTTGGAGAATTTGAAAATGATTCTTGCGAGCGATTGGGTAATTTCTAGAAAAGGGACAACGAATAAAGAAACAAGAAAATTCACATGGGGCATGTCGGGGAAATGGGAAATTAAAGAAATGAATACATGTAAAAACAAATTGGGTTGTTTATATGTGCATATTTAAACCTGAAGTAGGGCAGACGGACATCAGAGCGCCCAAGGAATCTGAGCTGCCATGTCTCTTCATGACCGAAGAAACTAAATTTGGATGAGATCCTCCTTCAAATTAAACAACCCTGTAAAACCTTCAAATTTCTTTACTTGTTCGTTCGAAGCGTACACACAGAAAGAAACTTTTAGGAGCTCAAACGATCATTAAAAGTAGAAAGTTTCAGATGCGAAGGCAGAAGCAGAGGACGTTCCATATCGGAAACAAGACCGACTCTGTTCAAACTCCCATTTCCTTCCCCTGTTTCCCCTGGATCTTTCTCTATTTTCGATCCTCCTTCCCTCTCCGAACCCATCAAAAACGAAAAGAAAACAAACCCCAATTCAAACACGGAGCCTCGCAAATGGAAAGCAAAGCTCCAAAACCCAGCCACCAGAAGAAGAAGAAGAAGAAGAAGTAGAAGCAGAGGATTGCCCAAGAACTCTGTCTTCTCTCTCTCTTATTTCTCTCTCTACAGCATTTTTGAGCTGGAGTGAGATGTAGAGTGTAGCGGTGGTGGAAAAACAGAGGAGAGGATCGGGAAATTTTGAAGAAGAAGAAGAAGAAGAAGAAGGGGAGAGTGAGCTCGATCACGATTAGTCTAATACTTTCTCTCTCTTTAAATAATCCAACTCGTGTCAGATGTAGGGTTAGAATCTAACTGGGGTTGGGTTCACTGCGGTTTGGCCAAACCAAATTCATCTCAAATTCACACCAAATGCAAATTACGGCCACCGTCTGTAGCCTGTCCAAATTCCTCTTATTGACCGTACTTTTAAACGGATTTATATTTTATAGGGACAATTTCGGAATTAAAAACGAAAAAAATCTCTTCTTGATACTTTGTCTGTGCAGTTGGAGCAGTGTATAATTTTTTAAATCGAATATATTATCATATTATGCTACGTTTATGTATATATTGTTATTTGTGTGAGGTTAATTGTTACACTTTTTATATATTAAATGACATCTTCCGCCGTTTGGACAATTTTCTTAAATGTGGATCTTTTCAATTTAATTTATTTTAGTTTTGACATTTTCTTTAGAATTTTGTTATGGTTTTTGTTATTTGAATTTTAATATATATGTGCTTTGATCTACGTATATTATATTTGATTTCAAATTAAGAAATAACAAATAAATTTATGGTACATACAATAGAAAAAAAATTTAAATAGTCAATTTCAATAAATAAGACATAAATTACTTATTTGAAATTGAAGGGCAAAAACAAAGAGCAAAATTAAAAATTTTATAAGAGTTTCAAGAAAATAGTACATTATAGATTTAAATTAAATCAAATATAAAAATCAAAATCAAATTAAATTTTGAACTGTCATTTTCAGTATTTTTCCAAAGGAAAAAAAAAGGGCAAAATAGATCATTCGATTTCTAAAGTCCACATTAAAATAATGCCTATTATAATTAAGATAATATAATGAGAGGTATCATTGGAAGTATCTTATGATAATTCCTCACCCCATCATTTATAATTAGTTTCCTTTTTCTTTTGTTCATATTCAATGAGATTAAGTATCATTTTTTTAATACAACAAATATAAAGATTGGAATTAAATTTTTACTCTCGGCAAGAAAGAAAAAGATATCGTAACAATTAAGTTATGTTTATATTGATAAATCGAGTGTMATTTGATGATAATATCAATAATAGTTGATAAAAAAGGAAGGAAACAAGTTGAAAATATGTCAAATTGTAATACTTGGAAAAGATTTTTTTTTTAAAATTTTTTTATGTTCAATTGCCGAACTAATCAATCGAGAATTTTTTTTTTTTATTGACTACCACCCCTTTTTTTCATTAGGAGAGAAAAATGCATAAAGATAAAGAGAAAAAAAAATATTTTTTATTTTAAAAAAATAAATAACTATCAAAATTTTAGTAGGGATGGGTAGAGAAATTTTTGCAAACCAACTATTAGAAGTATTTTGTTGGGATATATATATTTTTTGATAGAACGAGGGTGAGGGTTCAAACTCATGACCTCTGGGTCAGAGATAAATGTCTTAACCACTTTGAGTTATGTTCGGTTTGGCGATTGAATTTTTAATTCGATAGAGGTGAGATTAATTTTATTCCAACATTTAAAAGCTCCCACACATATAAAATAATATTTGTTTTTTCATCTAAAAAAATTATTAATTCTGTTGTAACACGATTTATTTTTTTTTTAACATAAAAAATAAAATTGAAACTTCATTTTAAAATGAAATTTAACAAATAAATAGTGCATCATTCCAAAATTAAATGTTATTTTTAATTTAATAATGTGGGGAGGTCATTCAAACCTACCTCTTATGACAAGTTGAGTTACTTTAAAATTGAATAAGAATTAAGTATTATATTAGTAACATATATGTTTTAAATTTTCATATTTGCATGTTTTTCAATTTAATTCCGTATATTTTAAAC